TTTGTACAATTTATTTTTATTAATATTTGATAGTGATTTCCCGGGAGAATTCATTGTGTATTAGGTGTGAGTTGTTAGAGTAGTTGACCTTGAGACCGATGGCCGACTTGCGGCTGCGGTGGTCAAAACAGTTTGATTACACAATCGAGTATGATAAAGTTATTACTATTATCAATAAATTATAAAGTAAATTTATAAATATTACATCGATTTCAATAGAATTTATTTAACTATTGTGTGTGTTCGATTTGTGGTCTCTAAAAGAAATTTTTATTAATTCACTTTGGACTGTGTTTTGTGTTTTCGTCGTGAGCTGTCGACTACAATCGCACGCGACAACGGACATGGCGGTAATGATTATTACAGTCTTAAAAAACTATAATTATACTAATAGTTTTATGTCCAGATATTAACATTTTTTTTTTTTGCAATGATGAGTATTTATTATACAATTTATATGTTTAATAAATTCTTAATTGTTCGATACTAGACAAACTACCCTAGTTGTATTTTTTATTTTATAAAAAATAACGTAAAAAATTAGAACAAATACAACTTTCATACTTTAAACGGTGAATTTGTAAATAGATTGAAATATAAAACTATCAAGTTGAAACTAGGATAATGTATAGAAAATTGATTATTAATATGGAACCCTACTATCATCAATGGAGTCTATTTATAATCTATTAAAGCATATTTAAGCCAAAAATAAAAATATTTTGCTTGTTTAATTAATTTGAATAGCATAACTCTATGCATATTTCGACATTTTTTTCACATTAAAATATATTTATTTTAACTTAATAAGAGCACGAAAATCCATATTCTCGCTAGGAATGAAAACAAAATATTTTCATAAGAGAACAAAAGATAGGGAAGATGAGACAAGTTAGCATCCTTTAACTTTAATTAAATTACTTAACGAATGTATTTACTACAATAACTTATAATATAGTAGAAATATTACTTGATATATTGAGACCAAATGGTAAAAACTGATAAATTTTAATTTATTATTTTAATAATTGTTAATTAACTAGAAAATAATTTAAATTTATCATTTTGCTCAGACGTGGAGTAAGATAATTTTTTTAATGGGTCAATTGACGTACCCTAATACAGGTAATGCTTAAAAAGTTAATTATCTATGTATTCTTCTATTAGGAATGAATCAGTTTTTTGCTATCTTATGAAAGTTTGGAAGTAATAAACAATTTTTAATTAATCTAATTAAAAAAAAAAAAATTGGAATGTAAAATTAATCAAAAGGTAAAATAGACCTTATATGGTATGCTCTTGGATAACTATAAGATTTATTTGTTCAGTCACTAATTATAAGCATATTATTTATACATAGAAATTTCATTAGAAATAACGAAATAACAACTATACTCATTTTTTAATAAAATAATCCTCTCTAGTACTCCCATAATTCAAATAAGACAGAATTTCAAATACTTTTTTTTTTTGTTGTTTTACTTAAGGTATTGTAATAAAACAATATGTATTATTTATTCATACTCAAAGTAAAACCACATGCCGTAAAACCACAATATTGTATTGAAAAAAAAGATGAAGTACGATATAAAACAAATACAGTTGTTCATTTAAACTATTTTGAAAAATTTGTCATTGATTAGTAAATATGTTTTAAAATATATATTTTTTCATATCCTTTTGAATCATAGGATTAAAAATTTCAAATCTTAATTATTTTTTAATTATTCAAAAAAAATAAAAAACATCGGTTAAAATGAAAATTAAAAATATATCTAAAGTCATAATGAAAACATAATTGTATTATAAAATACAATTTTACTTTTATTAATTCATTGGAAAATTATGTCCATTAATATTTTATCATTTTTATTTTTGATTATTAGGTTAATAAGAATAATTAATAAATATATTTTAATTCAAAAAATTATGCTTAATAATAATTATAATATTATATAATATGTAAAATAATTTAATCACAGTATATCAATTTATAATGTGTTCAAATTTTGAACACAAGAAAAAAACAGTGTAATTATTTATAGGTAGGTAAATCTTTGACGTCGCCAGACTTTTTTTTTTTTTTTAAAGTGATTAATTATTTAATAATAATATATTTTTTAATATCCATTTAAAAATACAATATTTAGTAAATAATTCGATCATTGAATGAATTGCAAAGGGCGTTGCCAGCCACCTACAAATAATAGTTTGACAAGTTATTATTATTATGGTTGTAAAAGTTTTATTAAAATTGAATGCACATTAATAAGAAAATTGGAATAGTTAAAATATTTAAATAACTTATAGGTTTTCTGAATAACTTAATTAATTAATTTATATATAATTCATATAAAGCTTCAAAAAAAATTAATGTAGATTAGAATAACTAAATTATTAAAATGAGGTCCCTATTAGCTAGTTTATATTTTAGCTTCGATGCGAAGCTGAGAAGGCATTGGTTTTACTAAGATGTGTTTTTTTTTTTGTGTCTGTTACCACTTTTTCTCAGCTCTCACCGAACCAATTTCTTTCAATGATACGTCAAAAGATCACAAATTGTATCTAGTCGAAGACATTATCCTCAAAAATTGAAAAAAATGCCCTCGTTCCCCGTAAATGGGGGAAACCTCCAAAAAAATTACAAATTTAAAAATCGCTAATTTTCGAAATTTTTTCAATTTTTTTTACTTAAAAGTGCCATAACTTTTTCAAAAATGAACATATCAATATAATTCTTTTTTATATAGATGTGTAATATTATTACCTTTCGTTTGGTATGTATTTTTCATAAATTTAACCCTTAACCTCCCCACAAGGGGGGATTTAAAATGACAACTTTTTTACAAAAAATTGACTTTTTCAACTTAAATTTTGAAAGTGTTCCGGAAAGTCTGACACTTTTATATATACTTTAAATTAAAGCTAATGTAATATACTTTATCATGAAAATAAAAAATTTCGGACTTTATTTTATCTTCACGATGAAAATGGCTACCGAATGTTATTATTGTGTGAAAACTTTATAATGCTATGACATATTGAAAAGTGTATGGATCAACATTATTTTTTTATGAGAAATATTATTTTTTAATAAACCCTTTTTCATTTATTAGGATATTAATAAGGAACTAGCAGATCATGTAGCTTTTGGAATAGTCCACCAATTTTTTAAAATTAAACAGTATCTAAAGATTTGCATCGAAGCGTTTTTTTTTTGATAGTGATTTTAATCACTGTTAGATATCATTATACTTGATACATCTATACCACGTCACCACTGTGCCGCGACCCCCCTGTGCTGGGTTTTTTATTCTTATAGCTTAGAAAATTCCTAAAATTATACTCTGAGGTAGATCATAACTATATTTTTGTGGTTTATCTATTATAACAATCCACAAATAACCATGATATTGACTTCATTTATAAAATCTATTTCTTCATTTATATGATCATTTCATAGCTATAGTGTGTTAATAAATTTTATTTAAAAAAAAAATTACTGTTTATTTTCGACAAATATACTTTTATCATGCATATTAGTAACTTAATTTTGTAACGAAGTTACATCAAATTTGGATTTAATATTTTATTACAATTGTTGATATTGACTATTGATTTACTGTCAATATTTTAACTTTTTTTTTAATATTAACTACGAACAATATAATAATTGTACTGCTCTTGTTAGGATTGAATAAATTTATAATTATAAACATATGATAACATAATATTTTTGTTGACGAGCTATATGTATTATTTATCACACTCATTTTTTTTTTGTTATCTAATAACAGCCGGCTGGCCTTTTGGTATACCCGTCAGTGTACGTTCCACCGCCATGACGAAGGAGACGCGATCCTAGTTTTCAAGTTATTTTTAATAACAAAATAAATATATATGTTTAAATAGTAATGTATATTAACTTATAAAAATTAAAAGTAAAATAACAATTTAAAAATATTAAGCATTCGAATATTAAATGTCCAAAAAAAAAAATATTCTTAGATGAAAGTAGATTTATGACTTGTCAAAATTTTGAAATTACAAAATACCGGTATTTCGTAAAAATATCCCTGACACCTATGTATTTATACTAAAGAATTGAAAATGTTATAACTTTTTCATTATCAGTTCTTCTAACATGTCTAGTAATTAATAAGATGATTTTTTAATTTTTAATGAATTTTTTAAATAATTTTTAAAAAGGTTTCTTTTTTTGTAAAAAAATGACATTTCCAGAGTTACAACAACTTTCAAAATTATATTTTGTTTTCTAAGGTTAAATTTTTACAAACTATACTAATGTTAACTCTTGTTAAGAAAAAAAGAGAATATACAGGCAGGGCTAGAGTAGAGGTGACTAATGAAATTGTGTCAGAATGACAGCCGGCTAAAATTGTGTCATATAGTATAAGAAGTCCTCAACAAAATTTAGGCGGATTGTCCCATGTCGGATGTATGTGGAGACAACTGATGAAAGAAAATAAAATAGTTAGAAAGGGAGAAGACCGTATAGAATAAAGTGATTGATATGGAACATAACGCCATCTCTAGAGCGTTGTATTTACTTGAACGCCCTTATAGTCTTATTATTAGCATCAACTCGCAACCCTTCACTATTAAGATAAAATGTAAATAATCGCAAATCAAAAAAAATTATATCAAGAGACATGATAATAGATACAAGTAAAATTATTTATAAAATTTGAAAAACATTTTAGTGACAAACAGGATTGAATTTTTAAAACAAATGATATATCTAACCTATATTTTTAAAATTTGAAAATAAGTACATGAAGTTAACTCGCAATAATCTATATATAATTTTTATAAGTGAACTCATTTATAATGGCAATTAAATTTGATTAATACAAGTATTATTTAAAATGGTTATAAATTTAATATATATTTTTCGAAAATAAATTTTTAATTTATCAAATTTACATATATTTATAATGGAATAAATTGTTCTATATAAACAGAATTAATTTTATAATAAAAGTAATTTATCATGTTAACCTGATATTATTAAAATTATTTTTTCAGTATTAGATTTTCATACTGTAGCAGTAATAATCATCATTAAAAATGGGTTACTATTTTTGTTCTAGAATATTCCTTTGTTTTATGTGCGTAATTACCTCACCCATATTTTCAGCTGGAATGCCAAACTCAAACAAAAAAACTAATAACAATGAATCTAATCAAGTATTTATAATTATTATTATTATTATTATTTTAAAAATTAATGACTATTATTTAGTGGCTTAGGTACTTTTCTATATATAGGAAGGTCCTAATACACATATGTGTATAAAAGAAGGTAAATGATTATTATATAGGAATAATTGATAATCTGTTTATAAATATAATATACTTAGAACAGTTAATTACTTGTTGAAATTTTCCTAGCACGTATTTTTTCTCTTATTTAATTGAAATTGTTTTGCGTGATATAAATAGAATATATATCTAATAAATGTGTGTAAAAATTGTTTAATACTGAAATAATTTAATTTACATACTGTAAATTTTGTGAAAAATAGATCAGTTAAAATATAAAAACATCTGTGTCATCATATACAATTCTGTATAGTTAAATATGTTTGATATGGAATTAATTACACTTTTGAATATCTATACATTTTTTTAAGTAGTCATATTTATAACTAAAATGAATGTTTTATAGAATCATGGACCAGCAAAAGATTTAGAAATTGATTCATCCAATTCTTCAGATGAGGTGAGGTGATAATATAAAGAAATTTTTTTTATTTAATATCTATATTGAAATTATTTAACTTACACATTGAGTAAAAATTAGTTAGATCATTTTTTGACATCAAAATTAGTGAAATTTTTACGTTTTATTTAAAAAAACTAATGTTAAATTAAGGGATAGAGTCATATTAAAAAAATAAAAATATGGCATAAAATAATTTTTTAGCTTCGATGCGAAGCGGAGAAGGTATTAATTTTACTACGATATGTTTTTTTTTTTTTTTTTATGTCTGTTGCCACTTTTTCTCAGCTCTCACTGGACCGATTTCTTTCAAAAATACGTCAAAAGATCACAAATCGTATCTAGTTGAAGACATTACCCTTAAAAATTGAAAAAAATTCCCTCGTTCCCCGCAAATAGGGGAAATATCCAAAAAAATTACAAATTTAAAAATCGCTAATTTTCGAAATTTTTTCACTTTTTTTTCTTAAAACTTCCATAACTTTTTGAAAAATCAACAAATCAACATAATTTTTTTTTTTATACTAAAATTTTAAGTTTACCTTTCATTTGATATCATTTTTTTGAAAATCTAACACTTAACCTGCTCATTGGGGGAGATTTAAAATAGCAACATTTTTACAAAAATTAATTTTTTCAACTTAATTTTTTGAAAATGTTCCGGAAATACTCGTCCTTTAAACATATATCAAATTAAAGCTTATTTTATGTACTACAAAATAAAAAAAAAAAAATTTGTCCCGACACTTTTTCTTCTACATTTAAACGGCTGCCGTAGATAAAAAAACACTATTTTTGTGTTAAAATTTTCGATTTTGATTTTAAATTTTCAACTTAAAAATGCTATAACTTGAAAAATGTATATATTTTTATAAATATAAAAATTTTTTTTTTTCTAAATACATTATAAGTACATCTTTCATTTGACATACTTTTTATTAAAATTGGACAATTTCCCCTTATATAGGGGGCGTTCAAAACTTAAAATATTGTAAAAAACATAGATCTTTTTCAACTGAACTTTTGAAAATGTTCCGGAAATACTGCGTCCTTTAAACATATATCAAATCAAAGGTTATGTTATATACTATCAAATGAAAAAAAAAAATTTGTCCCGACATCTTATCTTCTATGTGCAAATGGCTGTCGAAAATTTAAAAAAAAATGTAATGTTTGCGATAAAAATTACATTTTATCGGGATGTTTTTTGTACTTAAAACTGCCATAACTTTTTCAAAAATGAACAAATAAAAATAATATTTTTTTGTATTGAAACCTTAGATATTTCCCTTTCATTTGATATAATTTTTTTTGAAAATCTAACACTTATTCTGCTCACTGGGAGGATTTAAAATAGTAACTTTTTTACAAAAAATAACTTTTTCAACTTAATTTTTGAAAATGTTCCGGAAATACTGTGTCCTTTAAACAAATATCAAATTAAAGCTTATTTTATGTAATATAAAATGAAAAAAAAAAATTTGTCCCGACGACCTATCTTCTATGCGCAAATGGCTACCATATTAAAAATATGCTATTTTAACAAATTTTTTTTTTTAATTAAACACTATCTATAGATTTGCATCAAAGCGTTTTTTATGATAGTGATTTTAATCACTGTCAGATATCATCTATACTGGACCCAACTATGCCACGATCCCACTGTGCCGCCACCCCACTGTGCTGGGTTGTTTATTTTTATATTAAAATTTTTTTATTAAAATATTTCTAAACATTATTATTAGTTAAATTTCGACACTTCAGTATTTTTCTGGTAAATTAAAGTTATTAATTATTTTATTAACAATTTTTCTCGTTATTTTTTAAAAATAACATTTTTGAAAAAAAAAAATTTTATTTTTGCTGAAAATTTACGTAAGGCAAAGTTAGTGAGACTTTTTACTACCCTCAGGTACTTTAAGGTACATAAAATTATAAATGTCTTAATGATAGCATTAATAATGATAGAGAACTAAAATTTGAAAAATATTGTCGCTAAACATATGTATTAGGATTATAAATATTATTAACATTGATAACATTCTTGAATATATAGTTAAAGATCGAAAATATAAACAAATGATTTAATGGTTTCATATATTTATTTATTCTGTGACTACGACATAACTGTCATTACAAAAAAAACATAATAATGTGAGAGAAAATTCGAAAAGGAATGTAAAAATTATAATTTGTAATATTTTGTCAAAATAAAATAAAATAAAATATATATAAAAATAATAATTTAAATAATATTAATTTTGTTATAAAATAAAATAGACAATTGTGTTGGGAAGAATTTTACAACCCTTGATATTTTTATCGTTTGTACTATTTTTGGGAAATAATGTGTGTTTGTTTAAAATGCAACTCTTCGAATATTGAGCGCCAAGATTTTAGCTGAATTAGAAATACAATAAAATTATAACTGCTACATGTCTATTAGCATACATTACTGTAATGTGGTACTATACTAAGAGGTAGCGTTGTTTAAAAACATTTTGTTAGTAGCCCACGGATAGTTGATTGAAAATTAAATTGAATGATTTTATATTGGTATATCAACCCACATAGCAATTTCAAAATATTAATATCGTAAAAATATTCTTATAAAATATTTTGAAGCAAATATTGTGACAATATCCCATAAATATAATTAAAAATATATTCTATTGAAATATTTCCATAATATGCTCACAAAATAATTTTTTAAATATTTCTTTATTTATATTTTGGGAATATATTAAAGAAAATAAATACAGTATATTACACTGAAAATATTTCTACAATGTGCTTAAAAAATTCTAGAATATATTATTAATATAATTTTTTAAATATTGTAAATATATATCTTGTTGGCCAACTGAGGTAACTTAAGAGACACAAGCCATCCTCTTTTCTCCTGTTAGTTACATCTTTGGATGTTATTGGTATCTAGTTATATAATACTTATGTATTATATATATATATATTCCTAAATCCTTAATAAGTATACAGCCTTTTTTTTAATTAGTATCAATTTTAACTAACCTAACTCAATTAAGCTAAGTAAGTCAGGGACAGTAGAAAAACCCTTGTTGCTATTATTTGCAGGCCTATCGAATTACATTTTTTTTAGTTTTATCAGCGCAATTATATCTTATTATTGTTCTATAAAACTTAAAATCCTAAAAAGTTTTTTTATTATAGTTAGAATATATTTTTATATTATCAACAATATAGGTCAATATCTAACTTGCAAGGAGCGATTATGGTGACGGGATCGTCAATTTTCAAAAAAATTATATGAGTATAATCTTAATTGAATATAAAGTTGTATTTGCTTTGAATTTTTTTAAACAGGAATAATGACATAACAGGAAAATAACCATTTGAACTACATTAAATAGCATTTTTTATCCTCACACAGTTGTAGCAACCTGTGGGTCAATTGGTAACGCACGAGTCTATAGCACTTGAAGTACGGGGCTTGAAGCCCGCGAAGCGTGCTTATTTTTTGCATTTTTTTAATATATTCATAAAAAAATTTAAAAATATTGTCACAATATTTTCTTGTTAATAATAATAAACATTACTAGCAATGCTAATATTTTACTTACTGTATTATTTAATTATTGATATTTTTACTTTTAAGAAACTTTTAGAAGTAAAAAGCATATTTGTGAAAAAGTTTTGAAAATTTCTTAATACTTACGTTTTTTCCTATTTATATCAAATGCTTTAACATCGTCTCTGTAAATATAATATGTATCGAATAAATGTGTGTAAAATGTTTTCTATACTAAAATATTTAACTTGCATACTATATAAAAGTTTTAATTCTTGTAAAAAATAGGTTTGTAAAAACATAAATACATCATTCATTATATAACTATGTATAAATAATATTGTTTCATACGAAATTAAGTAGAGTTCTGAATATCTATCAATTTTTAAAGTTTATGTTTTGTAGAATGATGAACTATCAAAAAGTTTAGTACGCGAAATCTTAAAAGTTTCAAATGAGGTAAGGTGTTACACATATATTAAGAAATATTTTAAATTTAATTATTCAATATACCATTTTCTAAAAATATGTATGCATATTTTAAGTTTATATTATAGAAAATCATTAATATTTCAAAATTATGGCTGAAGATATAGTGTGGGTTTTTTTACTTTATGAATAGTCATTTTTACCTTTTCATTGACCAGCCAAATTTTTATTAACAAACCAAACTTTTGGATAATTGAAAATATTTAGTGAAATAATTAAGTTAATTAGATTTCAAATATTGCACAGTACATAAATCCTTTATGTAATTAAAAAACAAAAAAATAATTATACACAATATAAAAAAAATAAATATTACTACAAAGTTCATACATATCTTAAATAGATTTTCTATTTCTTTACTTTTATAGATATTTAGTAATCAATTTTAGTAATTGTTTTAAACCAATAAATATCTAAACATTGATTTTTTTAGGAATTGTATCCTTTAACATTTTATGGCACACAACTAATTTTTGTTAATTTTGAGGAACATGCTGATGAAAATGACGAAATTAGTATTTTAAAAGTGAAAGAAATTATAAAAGAATCAAAAGCTACTAATTTTGAAAGAATCATTCTGAATTTAGATTTAAATGGTAATTGAGACTGAATTTTTTTTATCTAGTATTTATACTAAGTGGAGTGTAACAGATCTGACAGAGAACTCTTATATATTGAAATTGAATTAACATTTCGCTGTTACCTTGTGCCCCACCCTTTCTGAATCTATTCCCATATATATTCTTAAACATTATTGCAGTATTTCTACAAACAGCTCTTTAAAAACAAACTACTTAATATTGTTCGCGCTCGTTATCACGCTATTAAGAGATATCTATAATAATGATGGTCGCCGACCAATTTATGAAACAGTTATGTTCGATCAACGTACGCGCGCGGACAAATCGCCAGCTTACAAGTAAATTATAATAAAAAGATACAGTCCACTAATTTTAATATTCGTATTTATCAATTATTTATTTATTTATTATACATATTGAACCAGTTCTAAACATTTGGTCCATCGTGCCGCATCGATAAATTAATATATAATTTGATTTTGTAAGTTTTGTCATCGCCGTGCTCGTTGTCGTACGTTTATTAATTAAGTGCGTATGTGTACCGTCTTAAGTGCGTTTCGTATTTTTTTATTACTTTATTTATCGTATAGTTCGCAATTTGCAATTAGTTCGAGATTCGTAAATAAATAGACTAGCTAGTTCTATTTCTCATCTCGTTCTATTTTTGGTGATACGGTTAAAACGCCCATAACTCGAGTAACGTGTGTTATAATAGGAACATCATTGGTTTTATTCCAAACCCTATATAGTACACTCGGAATTTAATGCAATAGAGCGCTATTGTAATCGCGTAATACAATTGACTATCTGAATAGATATCAACGTTATGGCAGAGAAAGTCCAGTTAAGCATTCGTCGTGGTCAGTTCAAAGGACAACTATCACGATTTGTATTATTTGTTGAGAGAAAGAGTGGAGAAGAAAATATTGTCACCAGTCAAATCATACATATCTATTCCTACTAAACCCAATACTATAAATAGTCAATTCGGTTCTTCTATAATCAAATTACCACCAATCGATCTACCTAAATTTTCAGGAGATTATCCTGAGTGGCAATCGTATTATGATATGTTTTCCACAGCGATCAACGAGAATAACAATCTCAATAATATGCAAAGGTTTTTTTATTTACGATCTTCATTAAGCGGAGAAGCTGCTAAGGTAATACAGTGTTTACCTACCACTTCTGACAATTATACAATCGCCTGGCAAACTCTAAAAGAGCGTTATAGTAATACTAAGTTGTTAGTTCAAGTGCATACTAAGTCGCTTTTCGATTTAAGTCCAATATACCAAGAAAGTGCTGAAGAAACTCGACGTTTTCATGATACGTTAGTGGGTCATATTAAAGCTCTAGAGAATCTTGGTCAAATGCCCGACTTGTGGGGGTCACTAATTATACATTTAATTACATCTAAATTGGACGTACAAAGTTTGCGTAGCTGGGAAATCGAATCACCAAGGTCAGAGGTAGCAACATTAAAAAATATTATTGTGTTTTTAGAATCGCGTTTTAGAATGCTAGAAGCTATCGAATCGTCTAGCAAATTACAATCTAATAATAATGTACGCAGCTTCAGCAAGAAAAATTTTATTCAAAAAAGAAGTGATCGTAAAATAAATGCATTGTTTACAAGTGGCGGTAGCGTTACTTGTTATTATTGTAAACAATCGCACACTATTTATCGTTGTCCGTCGTTCTTAAAACTTACGGTAAATGAACGTATCAATAAAATTAAGCAATTAAACCATTGTATTATTTGTTTAAGAGCACATGCAGATGAACAAATATGTAAGGCCCGTCGTTGCGCAAATGTGGACGCGGTCATAATAGTTTATTGCACGTAAATTCGAAGACAGATAATGCGGGCAATTCAGATAACGTAGAAAGTATTATTGACAATAAAGTGCCTGATAATACAACGCTACAACAGCCGATATTAACAAACGCGCACACTTATCAAGGCAATTACAACAGTAGCCGCAGGTCAGTACTGCTAGCTACTGCCGTAGTACATGCGTATAATAATGAAAATGAACCCGTAGTGTGCCGAGTATTGCTAGACTCCGGCTCACAAAACAATTTTATCACCGATTCAATGGCCCATTATTTGAAATTGAAAAGAAAAAATGTAGCGTAGTCTGTTTTTGGAATAAACGAGTCACCGAATAATGTTAAACACCAGGTATCAGCGATTATTAAATCTCGCGTATCAGACTTTAAGACAAACTTGAATTTTTAACACTTCCCAAGCTGACCAGTTTCTCACCACAATCGGGTATTGATGCGAGGGAGTTAAAAATACCGTCAGATATTATTTTAGCCGATCCGCTGTTCGGCACACCGCAAAGGATAGATATGCTGATTGGAGCTGACATTTTCTATGACTTAATGTATTGCGATCAAAAAAAGACTGTTGAAAATGGTCCTGTTATACAAAAGACTGAGTTCGGTTGGATCGTAACCGGTCCTATCTCAGCAAGCTTCACTACATCTATGTTCGCAACTACTGTATTACCACACCAACAAGATGTAGTTGAAAATGATATAAACGCCCGAATTAATTTAGATGACCAGATAGCGAAATTTTGGCAATTAGAAGAAGTCAAAACTAAAAACATTTTAAGTTTAGATGAAAAGGCGTGCCAGTTGCATTTTGAAAATAATACCAAACGGAATGAAAACGGACAATTTGTTGTATCATTGCCGTTCAAGGATCATTCCCTACTAGGTGAATTGTATCAAATAGCTTTAAAACGGTTTTTATCATTAGAACGGCAAAGGTGGGGCCTGGAAAGAAGGCTCCCCCTGTGAAGAAGAAAGGGGGANCAAAGGGGGGGCCTGGAAAGAAGGCTCCCCCTGTGAAGAAGAAAGGGGGAAAGGCCGAGGGGTCTCCCGGAGCGCAGCCCGCTAGTGGATGAGATTCCTCCAAGTGAATCTCAACCACTGTCGGGCCGCTCAGGACCTAGTCCGGCGGGCGGCGTACAAGATGGGCACCGACGTGTGCATCGTCTCGGACTCGCACGCCGGATCGGTCCGGGACTCTGCCGGCTGGTTCTTGGACCGGTCCGGCAGAGCGGCGATCGGCGTGATGGACCGCGGCCTGGCGGTCGCGGACATCGAGTCGGGCGACGGTTACGTAGTGGCAAGGATAGACGGCATGGACGTCTTGAGCTGCTACGCGCCGCCCAGCTTGAGACAATGGTGCAGCAATGAACCACTATTGTTAAGAGAATTACCTTTATATTTAAGGAAAGTTGATGATGATGCAAAAGAGCCTAATAAAAATATTACTAAAATCCTTGGATTATATTGGAATCACGAGAACGATTGCTATCAATACAATATAAAACCAATAAAAATATCTGGTCAATGCACAAAAAGACTAGTTCTATCCGAAATATCGTCGCTATTTGATCCACTTGGATTAATCGCTCCAGTAATAATTACTGATTATTCAAGATGATTATGCAACAGTTATGGTTGCAAAAAATGAACTGGGATGACGTTTTACCTATTCCATTACAACAAGATTGGTCAAAAATGCTTGTGGACTGGAGCAAATTAATAATATTAAAATCAACCGTCTAGTTCTCGGCATCGAAAAAATTAAAAAACTATAATTACACGCGTTTGCTGACGCAAGTATGCAAGCCTATGATGCTTGTACATACACACGCACTACAGACATTTATGGTAAAGAAGTGATAAATTTATTGTGTGCAAAATCAAGAGTCGCGCCATTAAAGGTAGTTTCGTTACCTCGGCTCGAACTGTTAGCTGCGCTTTTGGCCGCTTGCTTTATGTCAAAATATGCACCAAAATTACAGTTACCTATAAATGAATATTTTTATTGGACAGATTCGACACTGGTATTAAATTGGTTATTATCTCCGTCGTCTCGTTGGAAAACTTTTATGGGAAACAAAGTAAGTGAAATACAAGAGTTAACGTCTGTTTCACAATGGAAGCATGTTGCGTCCAGCGACAATCCAGCGGACATAGTGTCAAGAGGCTGTTTTCCATCACAAATGAAAAGCTTAGATTTATGGTGGAACGGACCTAGTTGGTTGAAAGGGGAACATACTCAATGGCCAAGTAATTTTCAAGAACTTAATTCTAAAACTGAATATTTGTCTGAAGAAAAAGTAATTACTAATTTATTCTTAACAACAGAAAATAATTCTTTTAATCAAATTTTTAAATTATTTTCTTCATTAAGTAAACTTTTACGTGTTGTGGCTTATTGTCTTCGTGTGAAGTCTAATTTGTTATCGAGTGACACTAATATTTATGGTCCTGTAAAAGCTACAGAAATTGAAAATTCCCTTAAACGTTTAGTGAAGGTAGCGCAACAAGAAGAATTTTTTACTGAGTTGTGTGACTTAAAAAATTCAAAATTAGTGTCCAGTAAAAGTAAACTATTTCGTCTTAAACCATTTCTAGATAACGATGGTATAATCAGGGTAGGCGGTAGATTGAAACATGCCGTCTCACTGTCATTTTTTCAAAAACATCAGATAGTACAATCGATTGGTAATGCTCTGTTTAACTATGAAGAGTTATATACAATACTTGTTCGAATAGAAGCCATATTAAATTCGCGACCGTCGACACCTTTATCCACGGATCCAAATGACTTATCGGTTTTAACACCTGGTCATTTTTTGATAGGTGATTCGCTATCTGCTTTTCCCGAACGTGACGTAACGAATATTATGGAGAACAGACTAACTCGCTGGAGGCGTGTAGTTCAAATTACGCAAAAATATAGATTAGATGGAAGAACGAGTATCTCAATCAGTGACAAGAGTGAAAAAAATGGTCACAATCAAATGGTCCTGATTTGAAGAAAAACACTGTAGTTATCATGCGTGATGAAAACTTGACCCCTTTAAAATGGTCAATTGGAATAATAATAGAAGTTCATAGTGGTTCTGACGGTGTCGTACGAGTGGTTACTATCCATACAGCAACCGGTGTATACAAACGAGCTGTTCGTCAATTATGTCCATTACCTTTCGAGGGAAATTGTACAGCAAGTTCAAATAATTAAAAATGTTTAAAATGTATGTTTAGTAAACTATGTTAAAATCCTTATGATTTGAAAAAAAAAATAACAATAATATCTGGTCTAAATATTGTGATATAAATTCTTGTTGTTTTTAACACGCTTATATTAGTTTCGCATGTATGTTGTAAGTTTGTAACTCCACGCGGCACGTGTTATTATGTCGCGTATCCCGTCGTGTATGACCTTGAGACTAGACTGTCGTAACGCGTTTACCCCACCCGACTTACCACTCGTCACCAACAATATTTTCCTGTATATTTTTATTTTTGGTTTTTGTACTCGTATACGCGTGCGTGTCATCAATTATATATATTTATAACAAATTTTTATTGTGATTGACACGGCCCCGCGTCGTTTCGTTATACACGATGCCCCACGACTCGTGCCACCTTTATCAGCCGTCACCCTATTTTATAAGTATTTGGCGCGTTATACGCCGCGGTGCAAAGTCCAGCAAGTGCCGCACGACCGACGACGTTCCGCCGCTAATGATATCGTAGTCTTCTTACTGTTGTCAAAGTGACAACGTCAACAAACCGATCTTCTCTCGCGCACCGTTGTCATCTATGCTGCTAACCTTTTGCCGACCAAGGAGCACGTATATGTTAATATTAATTTATATATCCCTACAGCGGACGCCGCTGCCGCCGTATATGACTCGTGTATAACGTTCCTCCCGCCCACAAAACACGGCTATACCTCGTGCATGATACGTTTACGTACTTAAGTCGTTTTACATGTATATATATATATTCTAATTACTATTAAAACTTATATATTAATACGCTTTATTCTCATTAAGAGATATATAGGGTATTTATTCCGATTACAAAGGATGATCCCCGTATCGTCATTTTTCGTCACTACCTCCACATTGCGCGCCTGCTGCTTTCTTTAGATGTGGTAGCCGTTTGTCAGACTTCCTCTGCGGAATCGAACCCTGATTCCCCTTTACCCGTTACAACCATGATATTGACAGTAACTACTATCATAACATGTAACTAAAAAGTGGAAAATAAATATAGTTTAAAAAAACTAAAAACACGCTTTTAAAGCACATCGAACTAAAAAGTTCAAAATAATTTTTAAAATAAGCGTAAAACAATGATGAACGAAAAGTACTAGTATTATTGTGATAAAAGCGTCAGGCGCTTAATATACGAAAAATATGACACAAAGCATCCACGCTTTTTTCACAATAATACTAGTACTTTTCGTTCATAATTGTTTTAAGCTTATTTTAAAAATTATTTTGAACTTTTTAGTTCGATGTGCTTTAAAAACGTGTTTTTTAGTTTTTTTAAACTATATTTATTATGTATGTAATGTATTAATTATTATTTGTATCTCTATTATAAAATATGTTCATTTATTGAAGTGTCCTGCAGTTAATGTTTGTTGCTAAATGTAGTTACCATAATTTTTATTATTTATTTATATATTAATTTTATTATTTGTAATTTATTAAAGTATCATGTGTTAGGTCTAATAATTGTCTAATAATCTAAGTTATAATTATTTGTTATTTATCTGAAAATGTTTTACAGAATTATTGTTTATATTTTTGGCCGTGAATGTGGGTCAATTGTTTGTCATAATCTTATTATTTATATGTACTTTATATTGATTCTATTGAAATGTGTTATTTCAAGGTAGGCGGTGTGTTCGCGCTCGTTATCACGCTATTCAGAGATATCTATAATAATGATGGTCGCCGACCAATATATGAAACAGTTATGTTCGATCTACGTACGCGCGCGGACAAATCGCCAGCTTACTAGTAAATTATAATAAAAAGACACAGTCCACTATTTTTAATATTTGTATTTATCCATTATTTATTTATTCATTATACATAATGAACCAGTTCGAAACAAATATAATATAATTATAATAAATAAATGAATCAAAGACTAGAGGTGTGGAGATCAGCTCTTGAAGAAAAGGGTTTAGGAATAAGTAAAAGTAAGACAGAATATATAGAGTACCAGTTTGACAAAGGAGAACACGAGGTAGGTGAAATGAGGAGGCCAGTGGCAATAGGCGAGGACGTGATTGGAGAGGTGGAGAGTTTTAAGTATTTAGGGTCAGTTGTGCAAAAGAGTGGTGGTATTGACGAAGTTATAAGACGCAGAATTAAGTGCGGGTGGTTGGAGTGGAGAGAAGCGTCTGGCGTCATATGCGATAAAAGAATTTCAATGAGGCTGAAAGGTAAATTCTACAAGACTGTAATAAGGCCAGCTATGATGTATAGTACAGAGTGTTGGGTCGTTGATAAGAAAGTAGAGCAGAGAATGAGTGTAGCAGAGATGAAAATGCTTAGATAGATAAGTGGAGTGACTAGAAAAGATAGGATAAGGAACGAGCATATAAGAGGGAGTATAGGTGTAGTGTCAATCGTGGATAAGATTAGAGAAAATAGATTTAGATGGTTTGGTCATATTATAAGGAGAGAGGAATCGGAACTGTAAGAACAGTTATAGAAATGAATTTTGAAAGAAGAAGCTCTTATGAATTGTGATATAATTTTGATTTCACTGTAATTTTTAGTTTTGATGCGAAGCTTTGAAGGTATAAGTTTTACTATGATATGTTTTTTGTTCCTGTTACTAATTTTTCTTAGCTCTCACAGAATCGATTTCTTTCAACGATACATCAAAAGATCAAAAATCGTATCTAGTCGAAAACATTACTCCTAACAATTGAAAAAATTCCCCTCGTTCCCCGTAAATCTCCAAAAAAATTTAAAGTTTATGTAATATACTTTATTATGAGAAAAAAAATGCCGGACTTTATTTTGTTCTCACGATGAAAATAGCTACTGAATGCTATTTGTGTATAAAAATTCTGGTTTTTATATTTTATACTTTTAACTTTAAAGTCTTTATAAATTTTTGAAAAATGTATGAATCAATACAATTGTTTAATGATAATACTATTTATATATATATCTTTTATTTGACATTCTTTTTTTTATAATCGGAAGATTCCTCTTAATACAGAGGGGGTTCAAAACTGAAAAATGCATATAGAAAGTAGAACTTTTTCAACTTAATTTTTGAAAGTGATCCGGAAATACTGACACTTTTATATTTATCTTAAATTAAAACTTATGTAATAACTTTATTAAGGAAAAATTAATTTCGGAATTTATTTTGTCTTCCTAGCAAATAAATAAAAATTTAACATAGATTTACAGAATCTTAGATTTAACTGACTACGCATATAATATTTAGATGCAACCATCAATTTGTTGATGTATTTTATTTTATTACTTATTAAAAATAAAAAATAAAAAAAATCCTCTGGTTCAAAATTTTAAAATAGCCATTTTTTAACAAAAAAAGTTTGATGTCCAATAATAATTTTTAATGGCCAAGATTACATTGTCTTTTACATTTTAACGATTAATATTAAAATAATACGTTTATAATGTAGATGAACCTATCAGAAATTTTGAAAAAAACCCATCATTTTGAATAGTTCATAAAATTTCTCAAAACTACGTTTACAATCTAAATAAGATTTTCAAGAAATGGTTTTTTGCATCTAAAAGTGATGTAACATATTTTTAAACTATGTTCCAAATAATATTTTAATAAAATATACTAGGACAATAAAATTTCTTATAGAAACTTCGCCAGAAAATATAATTACAAATTATAAAAATTAACATAATCGCTTTGAAGCGTTTTTTATGATGGCAGTGTTAATGCCGTTCAGATATCATCTATCTATCACAACTCTTATGTCCAAGGTATTTTTTTACTTTTGGCTATTAACTTATTATTTTACTAACTTTCAACATTAGCGAATATATGGCTCATAAATAATTTTTATTTACGAAAAATATTAAAGCAAAAAAATTACGTTATTTTCAATTAAGCAAATTATGTAACAATATTCGAGTAAAATATTAAATTATAGAAATTGTAAAGATAAAAATTTACAAGTTATGAAATTTAATAGATTCACATTGAAGCAATTTTTATGATGGCGGTGTTAATTACTATTAGTTATCAACTATACTTTTATGTTCTAACTGTGCCGCGATTCCACTGTGCAAGGTTTATTTTTTTTTTAATTTTTTGCTATTAACTTATTATTTTACTAACTAGTTATTTAATAACTTTTAACATGCGCGAATATAGAATATTTTGATTATTAAATAGTTTTTGAATACGAAATTTCTATTAAGAAAATAATTAAACTTTAATTTATGTTTGAATATAAAATTTGATTGAAAGTTATAAGCTTAATGACAATTTATTATTAAATGTTTTAATTTAAGTTGAGGTTTTTGGGGAAAAATCAAAATTAAATACATCATTACATATATCTAAAATGCAAAACTGAGAACTATAAGTTTGTTGAGCATTGAGGTATAAGAACGCATCACTATTTCTTGAATTAATGTTGGAATTCTAAAGTGTATTTTGCTTAGAAATTCTGGACAGGATAACTTACCATTCATTAATTTTTGGATAAAAGTACGTCGTTATATTACCTCTATATGTCAATAATTCTAAATCCAATTTTAAGGCTAAAATAATTAGAGAGATATGCATCTTCCATAATTTATGAGCTAATATTTTTAAAAAGTGCCGTTTGATATTTTCAAGTTTATCAATAAGATTATTATGATTACTATATCTATCTACTGGTGTAAATTATAATATGAACCTAACGAAAAAGTAATATAATACATTAAGATAATTAATGCTTTTAAATTCGAATCACTGTTTATTTATGAAACTAAAGGCTCGTAGAGCTTTACCATAATAGTGTCAATATGAGCATAATTTGATATCAGATATTAATATTAATTTTACGTTAATTTAATGTTAATTACGGAAATAAACACTTATTAAAAAAATCTTGCAAAACAACTTCTTTGTATAGTTGGCTGAATCTAAATAAAGCAAGTTGTTCGACCCAGTCAAATTTAGCCACACAAAACTCAGCATCTCCTGAGGAATCTCAACTGGTTATCGGAACCAGTTAAAGAAAAAGAAATAATCGAAGAAATTTCAGAAAATGAAAACTCAAATGAAACCCTCACACAAGAAATTCCAATTTCTATACCTGAAGCAAATAAACAAAACTCCAATGCTCAGGCATTTGAGCATTATCACCGAGATGGTAAGCACTACGTAAAATGTAAATACTGCAACATGTTTCCAAACTTAGTAAAGCTTCATGGAACAATGACTCGATTGCTTGCGATAGTAACAGATGGTACTAGATTTAGAAACGATACGATAGAAAATCATATTTCTTAGAAATATCATTCGGAGTCTGTGAAAACTTTTAGATTATCTTCTTTAAAAGTACCAGAAAAAGCAAAAGAATGTACTATGGATAAGATGCTCACACAAATGAACGAAGACCTAGGAAATAAAATTGGCGGATTAATGATACATACATATGCTGACGCAAAAACAATTACTCTCAGTGCTTACTCATTTCCATCAAGAGTTGTTACTTCCATATCTGCTCAATTGTTTCAAGATAAAAATGTGAGTGTTCTGTGTGTTCCTCTAGACGTAAATTTTCAATATTTGACCCCAACTGCACATAAAGAATTTATTCAGTGTATTATTAAAAGTGATCATGGTGTGGAAGATATACTGTGCTCTAACATTTTATCGCTTTCTTTGGGATGTGATAGCAGTGTGGAACGCATGCAAATAGACAAGATATATATTTTTGCATAAGTCATAAAAAAATCTGGTTAATAAGTTCAATATTTCCTTGGGATAAGTGAATCAACTTGTCAAAGTGCTGCGGTAATACTTGGTGCAATAGAGAACGCCATCGATACTACTGTAGGAGAAGGAAGGTCTAGACAACTTTTTGAATTTGCCACTTCTTTGGTAACAGATGGAGCAGCAGTGAACACTTGTTGTAGAGCAGGGTTGTGGGAGCTTTTTAGGAAAAAGTACAAGATTAACTCAAATCTTCCTTTCATTACCATATGGTGTGCAGCACACAGATCGGATTTGGCTTTCAAATCGAGTAGTAATTGTGTTGGAGAGTTGAAATATATTTTTTCAGAGTAAGTTGGTTTAAGCTCATTTCTAAACTCTTCCAACTTAAGAACCAAGCATCACCAAAAGATGGCCAAAAAAAATAAATGAACTCTCTCGCGGTTGCCTCGTTTATTTGAAGTGCGATGGTCCGAATTTTCGTTTGATTTAATCAATTCAGTTTTGGTTTCTTGGAATGCTTTAGTATTGTTCTCAAAAGATTTTTATGACAAAGAGGCAAGAGGATACAGACTTCTTTTAATCAGTTATAACAATCTACAAATCCTGACATTTATTGCAGACGTATTGATGGTTTTCAGCAGATATCAGAAAAAACTGCAATCGGATACAATTACAATTTTAGACATGGACAAAGAGACAGTGAACGTTATATCCAGGCTTAAAATATTAAAAACGGAAGCGTTACTTGGTGGATGGGTGACAACCTTAAAAGAACAGTTAGAAATTCATAGTGAAAATGAGGTTTTACTAAAAGGAGAAGTCTTAACAAGAAATCGAAAACATCGTTCAAAGGAACATCACAAGTTTGTTTCTCAGAATTGAGACTACTCCGCAATCTGCAATGAACTTGTGGATTCTCTTGTAAATTTTTTGCAAGAAAGATTCGATATTGATACGGATACTGTTAAAATTTTGAAATCATTCACTGAGCTAGTGCCGTCCGTTGATATGAAAGCAGTTCATAAATTGATAGGAAGCAACTTAGATCTTGCTGAACTTTCAAAGGAATATTCGGAGCTTCTCACTCATCAAAATATTGAGCAGTTAAAAAAAAATCAGCTTGAAAGAAACTCTTCAGGCTTTAGTGATGACAAATTTTTTTCCCAATGTTTCTGTAAAATGGGCAGAATTGTTGCAGCAAAACCTCATTCCGCTGATGTTGAAAGAGTGGTTAATGTGAAAAATTTGTTTGAAACCAGCAATAGAAGCAGTCTAAGTATTGAAAGCGAGAATGAATATCTATATATTTAATTTAATCTTCCTTCATTAGCCAAATGGAATTCTCGTACAGCAATTAATGAGTGGTTTAAGAAAAAAAGGAGAGTTAGAGAAACTGTTAAGGCGAAAGAACAAGAGTGGTATAAGGGAATATTGATAAGTGCAAATGATAACCAAAAAGATTCGCAAACCGAAGAAAAATACCCAACCCAACCGCATAGCTCTGTTATCCGAAAAGTACTTCGTTATGTTTATGTTTATGTTTATGTTGATGTACAACATAAAAAAAGAACAGTGGGTAGTAGAAAAAAACATTACAATAAAAAAGTGATAAAAAGTGATAACAATTATTAATTTTCGTGATTCTACCTTTTGATACGGCACCGCCTTACGCTCTAGGCTAGCGCTTACCCGTATCTCACTCAATATCAGCCGTCTAACTATTAATATGACAACCGGTTGTAATCGGGTCTCCCCGCATTTGACACCTTGACAAGGCCATCGCAGAATATGGATTACAGAGATTACGTCCTGTTCCGTTTCTGATGTACACCTTAACTGGCTTACCGCTATGTGTTATTTTAGTGTTTCTTTTCCTTTTTTTCATTTTTTCGATTGCGAAAAGTGTTTTTCCATTTAGGTATAACGACTACCGAAGTGTAGTTTTCTACATTGATGTATTGACACATATAGTTATATCTATATATATACATAAACCGATACATATACTGTTTGTATTGTTACTATTATAATAATAAAATACCATAAAAACATTTCTTTCTGGTGTTTTTACTGGCGACGAAGTTATACCGCACGTGCCGTACTCTCTCCGTACTATTAAATAAGCGTTAATTCTTCAACCGTATATTGGATACGCGACACATTGTAATCAAATTATTATAGGATATTCCTTATTAGGAGATTTGATAATAAATGCACTTATTCACGTTTAAATTTATGATATATGAACTTATTTAATTAAAAATTCAACATGTTTTACACAATGTTTCTATATATTTTTTTAATAATCTTAATTATACTACTACTAGTTTTTTCATGTCAATTACAAATGCTAATTTTAATTAATGGTAAATAATTTTCGTGGAAAATAAATCGCTTACTGTTACTAGTAAATAACGTAATAAGTGTTTACTTCCGTAATTAACATAATATGAACTAAAATTTGATGCCATAGAAAATTGTAAAAAAAATCAAAATTTAACAAACTTCAAAATGCTGTATAAATGTAACTACTGAATTAAAATAAGAGTTTTTGGTATCAAAATTTTTCTTTAAAACTTATCTATAAAATGACTATCTTCGAATCTTAAAAAAAATGTTAATAAAACATTAATTTTTTAAATATTTTTTATAATTGCGAAAAATAACATAAAACATATAATTAATATAATTCTATATTGTTAAAATTGATTAAAAAAAAAAAAAGTATAAAATGTTATATAGATTATATATATTTAGTAGAATATATCAAGTTATATGAGTTGTCAGTTGGATCTGTTCCACTCTATATATAATGAGATTTGTCGAGAAGTGAAATAATTTGTATTTATTTATGCTTAATTTTTAATCTTATGCACGAGTTAATATTTCATAATAACATTAGTTTTTTGGAATTTACTTAGATGCTGTAATGATTAATCTCTTACGTGTTGTTAAGATTATATTTAATGAAATGATAATTCATGAAGGAGCCTTTTATGAACAATTACGCAAGGAAGATAAAAATAATAATGGCACCGTTTGCGTTGAGTATGCAAAAGATATTATTTTGAATTGCGAATTGTTTAATGGCAAATTAAAAGGCGATCGCTATAAATGGCTACTCGGAAAGTATACAAACGACCAAAATCAATTCAAATACGAAGGTAATTTATGATGAAAATTTTTTTGCTTATTTTATTTAAAATTAAAAATATTTAACTAAACAAAAATATACAAAATAATCACATATATGTATTTGTGAAACAATGTTACCATCAACAGCGCTTTACACATTCTGACATCAACCGAATAATACTTCATTATATTTCTAATGATCCAATAACCTAACAACGTTTAGTGATATTATCATCCAGCCAACTGTAACATTTTGGTAGTTTACACAAGATTAATAATATCATCTTCAACTTTATGTACAGTTTATTTTGATCCATATATATTAGTCCCATCCTTGAATACAAAAACTGAACCATGGAATTAATTCATCCCAATCCGTATACTAGATATCCGGATAGCTGATTATTTATTTATTTATTGAAGCATATGTTGCAGTACTAAACTGATCAGAAATCATTATTTTAATAATTAATTAATAATTAAGTGGCATTACAAAAAAATAGAATTTTTTTCTTAAAACTTCCTAAATTTGTTTAATAATGATATGGAAGAGTTCTACAAAATTTTTAATGCTTGTAACAAAGTTAATCTCTTTATTAAGCTTTTAAACTTGATTTTTGATTTAACATTAAACAGATATTATATGGATTTTGTAATTGCTGTTTTTGTCTTAGTGTGTAATTAAACACTGACATAATTGCTGTAACTAAATAATTACGCGTATTTCTCAAAATTTCTGATAAATTGTCGTATTTTTTGTTATAAATACTGCTATATTAGAGTTATATTTAAATTTAGTAAATCTATGTTTCATGATTCTACGTACATTTTTAAGTTAAATTCTGTGGTGTTATTAGATTTTATACAGATAATTCATTTTTAATTTTTATTTTCTTAACTAAATCATTATTTAATAAATAAAAAAAGAGTGTTGCCATTTCATTATTTATAATAATAAATTTTAACCTTATTTTCGTCGAACGTAACTGAGTAAATACAATATTATTTATTTTATTTTATTTATTTTGGCCTTATCATGTATATCCTGTATATATTGTTTGTAGCAATGAGAACAATAGAAACCCGTTTCCTGACTTACTGAACACCCTGTATATCATTAAGCTACTCATGTATTTATAATAATTTAAACATTTTCATTTCAGAGATGAAGAATAACGTATTAGACGATATTGAGGCAGATAAATCGAAAATTTATTCTTATAATTATAAGAAAAAAAAGTGGGTGCGTAAATACAAATTTACTTCTACTCATTGTTTATAAAAATTCAGTAAAATTTCATTGTTAATATTTGTTCTATAATATATTTGTTTTAAATGTTTAAATTAATTTTCATAAATTTGTAATATTCAGAAAAAATATGTACCTTATTGATTGTGGTTTATTATCACAACTCTATGACAAATGGTAATAGAAATACATAATCAAACATATTATGATTTTAAAAACAGAACTCCAAAATACATTTATAGAAAATTAGCGAAATAAAGTTGACAATTCTTTGCTATTTAATTCTTAATTAAAATTTGACACAAAACTCCCTTTTCATCGTAATATTTACATTGATGATATTATTACTTATCTTAATCTTTATGTTTCATTTATGAAAGTATAAAATCGGAAAAATTAATATGTTTGTGTATTATTTATTTAAATATATTGTTTGTTAAGTAAATTGTGTTTTTTTTTTATTCCTACTTAATCATAAGGTTTTCATTCAATATAAATTGTACCATTATAATTTTTAAAATTACCCTTGGCAATCTACTTTATCATTATTCTGAACAAAATATTAATATTTTTTATTTCTCAATTTAAAAAGTGTTTAAATAATTTTGGGGTCCATATCTAGTACGTTAAAAGTGTACCAACTTTTTATAATAATGTGATGAACTGGGTGTTTTAAGTCCAAGTTCGATCATGCGGGTAAGTGTTGTCAGAAAGAGCCAAAATAATAACTATTATAATATAACATTAACTGATTGATCACTGACTACACCCAAAGAAAAACCTCAATCAATTTTGATAGAGAAATTTTATCAAGGGTTTATGATTATATTTTATTAATACGAACAAAATAACTATTCTTATGAATAATTATTATTCAAGACAAGAAAAAAAATTATCATATTATAATTATCATTACTATTGAACCTATGATATATTTATCAAATTGAACATGAATTTATTATATAGATCGAGGTTTTTCTCTGGGTGTACTGAGTCAGTGATCAGGTCTCTTTTTATTAGGAATAATTAACAATATTACAATTTCTAAATGCTATAGTTTCTAATAATAATGTTTCTTACTTTCTAGATATTAATAATATAAATTCCTTAAAACTAATATTTACATAATAATTATGAGTTCATGACAATAGTATCATAGAGTAAACCAGAATAAAATTGCGTACTTTTTTTTCTGTCGCACAAAACTTGTAGTATAAGTTAGCTGTAACGTGACAAAAAGTATCTGTTTATTTTTTGTGTATTTGTATATGTATATATTTGACACGGCCTGTAATAGCGCACTATTCATTTACCGTGAATTAGCACGTTATCCGGTCGTGATTATCAGCTGTCCACCGTCGCACTCATTAGTGTTGACGATAACACAAGTTTGTCTTATCCGGCGGTCGGTAGATAGGACAGGTCAGGGGGGTTCAGCACCGCGAGACACGTCGGCGACTATGTAAACTAGTTCATCTGTGACTTATATCCGCCGTATGTGTCATCGAGTTATATCCGCACCTTACGGTTTACCCGTCATTTGTATATTGTAAATTATAATATTTTTATAAATTGAAAACAAAATAAATTGACTCCACAGTCAGAACATAACGGTGTTACGTTTGTTATTAATATGAATAACCTTTTTAAAAAATACCGTGTCATATTTGTGTGCTAAATTATCTTGGTTGAGCCGAATGTATACTGCAGCGTCGTTTATCAGTTAAATAATCATGATAAGGTGTTGTGATTTGTTTGTGCTCGTGCGGGATAGTCATGTGTGTACTACTGTGGACCGGTTCATGGACGGCATTTGTGTGTAGATTCACTCCGCTCTTTTTCTATTTTGAACGTCATTTGCATTGCTCAATACCTACATTATCGCCTTATAATATGTGATGATTCTAACTTTTCTCAATAATTTCCGGCACTATGTAGTAAAATTTGTTGATCCCTACTTTAAAGGCTAGCCGTGTTGTCGCCAAACGACGGAAGTTTTGTCAGAACTGGTACGGTAATTTTCGTCCGTAGCGGTGTGTTTTTTTATTGTATGCGTCACAGCGAATTGTTTTAGCTTCGATGCGAAGATGAGAAGGTATTGGTTTTACTATGATGTGTTTTTATTTGTGTCAGTTACCAATTTTTCTCAGCTCTCACCGAACGGATTTCATTCAACAATACGTCATAAGATCACAAATCGTATCTAGTCTCTTCGACTAGATTACCCTCAAAAATTGAAAAATTTTCCCTCGTTCTCCGTAAATGAAGAAAACCTCCAAAAAAATTACAAATTTAAAAATCGTTAGTTTTCGAAATTTTTTCAATTTTTTTTTCTTAAAACTGCCATTACTTTCTTAAAAATTAACAAATCAGTATAATTTTTAGCTTCGATGCGAAGCTGAGAAGGTATTGGTTTTACTAAGATGTGTTTTTTTTTTTTTTTTTTTTT